TTATAAATTTTTATTTAATATTTGACTTTTTTTCATATAGAAATAATCAAAAATTTTAAGTAATATATAATGTTGAAATTGGAATTTTATTTAAGAACATTATGAATTTAAATAAATATATTTTGTCAATTTAAATCTCAAGGCATTTTTTTCTAATTTATCAGATTATGAGATGGTTATTTCTGTAATAAGTAAAATTTTCCTTTTTTCCTTGCGAGAGACCATCTTCTACTATCTATAGAAAAATTGTAATAAACTGAAATAGATGTAATAACTTGGCCGCGCGACGCGACGCGACGGTTAGGTACAAATTGCGCGTGGCACAATGGCGTTGTTAACGCCCGAGTACCTCATTATGATCGCGAAAAAAGCTGTCGATTACAAGCGGAATGCATCGGGCTGATTTAAAGAAAGTGCGCGAAGCATTATCGCGATGCCTTTTATTGCAACTTTGATTTTCTAACGCGCAACAGACATTCTATTCACATTTCAATCTCGTTCTATTTGATTTGTATTTGAAGTCGTATAAAGTTGATGATGAAACTTTTGCGCGATGGCTACATTTTATAGATAGAGTAAAAAAGATGAAAAAGACTCTCACACACATTGAACTCTTCTTTTTATTACAATGGTGATTACATTCATACATGTTTATTGTATAAGTAAAATATTCACAGTTAAATAGATAATAACTATCTCATTTCGAAATAAGTTTCAGCATTGTAATTTTAATATTTCTTCTGTTTTCTGCGCTGGTAATTATTTCTTTTCCAATTTCAACGAGATAGATAAAACGATAGTTAAAGAAATAGAAGGAATATGTGTGTATATTGCAACGTTCTCTCTCTTATTATCTCTTTGGTAAGCAGCGTCTGTAAAGGGACATTATGAAAGGAACGCTAAATTACTTTTCATCAGAAATGCTTTTATATAGCAGTAGAGACCGTATTTTACAATGTTTGAACTTTTCTGCATCGTTTCAGCTTGCATGTTTATTCGCGAAGCAGACGATAGTCGCCATTATTTTTAGAAGAAGGGAGAAACGAACACGCTTTGCTCATTGAAAGTGATACAATCTCGGAAAATAACAGATGTCTCCTCGAGTGCTTAACAAAGAAAGCGTACCTCGGAGATTTCGTGAAAAGCCCTTTGTCATGCTCGAAGCGTTGGCGGTGAAAGGAAAAAAAGGACAGGGCGGAAAAAATCTTAGCCTCAATTATTTACTAATTCTACGATTCTCCGCCCCTCCCCCCCCTCTCTCTCTCTCTCTCTCTAAGCTGTTCCGTTAAATTGACGATTGATTCATGTCTGTAAAATAGTTAAAGTTAAAATTGATCAAATTATATTGTCCAATACATTCGTAGAAATTGAGCGATGTTACTCATCGGGGCACGATGGAGTGCGTCGGAGAATTAAAAACGATTAACTCGCGTATCCGATTCGAATTAGCACGACGTAGTGAGTACGCGCGCTCGCAGTTTACTGCTGGCGTCCTAATTGGCGTAAATTAATGCATCGTGCTTAAACTTCCGCCTTTCGCGCTCGACGAGATGCAGGTCGCCTGTGAGATATTCCGCTTTTGTGTGCCGAGAAGGTAGCGCGCGCGCGAGGAGTCGCATCGTTTCAACGAGACTAAACGCAGCTCGTTCCTCAGAGCCCCGTCGCGTTCTGCTCGCCGCCTCACTCGGTTCACTCGGTTCACTCGGTTCACTCGGTGTTGCAGATAGCTTTGAGCCAGTAAATTTCGTTGGTATTTCATTCCACGCTCTGCTACCTGAAAATTCTCAAATGCTCGCAAGTCAAGTAGTCTCCTCGCGCTTTTTATTAATTCAATTAATTGAATTAATTGAATCGCGTAATTACGATTGTAAACGATCTTCGTCCTTCACAGGAAATTTCATCGATATAAAAGAGCTAGAACGATTTATGTCGGATCGTATTTTATCGAAACGTTTAGAAATACAGATTTATTTAAATTATATTTACGTCACAAATATTCATTAAAGCTCGCGTAAAGTCTACTTATAGATATAAATTATTCATTATCGTATGAAATATAAGTACAGTTTGTATGACGTGTATTAGAATATATATATATATATATATATACACACACACACTTTTGCAGATCGATCTGTTTTCATTCCATCGCCAAAGTGACGTAGATCATCCGCCACCGCGGGGAAACGTTTCTATAAAGTCGCAAAGTTGCAAGATATGAAGTATTAACGACTAAATTATTTATCCCTCTGCCACACAGTCGCGCGAAATCGCGTTTCGACAGCGTAGATCCAACCGAGTGGAGATCTCACAACAATATAATACGTATAGCGGGAGAGCGCGAACTCGCAACTCTCTTTCTCTCTTCCTCTCGCTATCGCTTGGAGAAGCGGGATCTCGAGAGAGTGAGTCGCGAGGAGAGTAGGAGAGGACGCGGAATGATCTCGCGGCCGAGACGGCACGTTTAACGACCCTCGCCGGCTCGCCGCTTTACAGCTTGCACTTTTCGATCCGGCGCGGCCGGGCGCGCGGGTATTGATGTCCCCCGCTTTGCCGTCGGCCGTCGTGACGTTACCGCGACCGGGCTTGAAAGGAGCTAATGATCTACGAGTCTCGCCGAATGACAATTAACGCTCGTCCCGACGCGCGCCGGCGTGTGATGATTAACCGTGATGAGATGAGGGGCACGCCGGAATGCGCATAGACTCTTCGCGCGCGCACGTCGGATTTCATTTCTCGATCATCAAGGCGTTCATCGAGAAGGCGTTGCGTTGCGTTGCGTTGCGTTGCATTGCGTTCTTCTGCGGCAGGTGTTCGATAGTGCGACGGTGATTAGATGATTTCTCGTCGTACGTCGATTCGATTCCCATGACTTCGTTCTGAAAATAACTTTCGCCGTTGAATTTGCACACGCATGCTAATTATTCCTTTCTTATGGAGGATGTTGTTTAATTATCAGGGAACTTTGATAAATAGAAGATAGATACACGTCAATTGTATATACATATATATATATTTATATTGTTAGGAACGGTGTTCATTCTTTATGTACATGTATAATTTTCCGTGGATTGCAGTTTTAAAATAGAATAACCACTGATAAGTATGCATTTGTTTCAACATATATTTCAGAACGTAATAATTTTGCACGTTTACTATTTACGAATACAGTGATTTATTGCTACGGAATATGAAATATTGTACAACGTATCGATATCTAAAATTTATTCACATAATTATTAAGTCACTTTTGTAACAACGTTGCAAATTCAAGGACAAAAAATTGCGTTTTTTTTTTCTTTTTAAAGAAGTCGAATTGAAATTCAGAAATTTTCAGACTACAACGCTTTTCTAATTACATCGATTTTGTAATAACGCGATGCAGATTTCTCGCTTGTAGTATTTCTTCCGTGTTGTATGTATGTATAATTTTCGATTTGTTGTCGCGGTGCGCAAAGTAATACGAACAAATTTATGCGGGATGTAATCAGCCTTGGAAAAATTCGGAAATTTACCGCCGACACGGCAATGTTTATTATTTGCCGGGGCGTTATTTATTTTTTGGCGCACTTTGAAATTTGCTTTTGGCGAACCAGTTTCGACGGCGCCAATATTTACCGCGCTTCGCGGGCGATAATCCCCCGAATTATGTTCTTTGAAGCCGCGTTATTTACGCGCGCGGAAGGCGTATGCAACGGCCGTCGCGCCGCGCCGCGCCGCACCGCACTGCGGAAAGGTATAGGGATCAATTGAATTTTCGTAAATTGCCGTGAATTTATAAAATTATTGTGAAACGTATGTAAAATTATTTCGTCCATTGCGCGCCAGCGTTCGTTCGTAAATCGTTAATACCAAGCTCGTTGTTCGCCGCGCCGCGCCGTCGGTTACGCGCCGTCGTTTGGCCGCGTTTTTTTTTTCTCGCGTATCGCCAAGTAAAAATTTCGCAATACGATTAAGAACGATGCAAAATTGTAAATCGAAACGTGCTCGCGTCTGTTAATAATCCATGCTCTCGATACGTTACATCGTTACGCCTGAAATTGGTTTTTGATCGCGCTCCGTGCTAAATAATCATCGCGCAGCGATATATTCCCCGCGAGAGTTACGGCATTATCGGCGATATTATCCAGCTCCGATAATACGGTATCCGCGTTATACCATGTTATACGAATTTTAACATGTTTACGATCAACATGTCTTTTTTGTGAAAATAATGGTCGGTGTTTTTATTTTTCCAAATATAGTACAGATAGAGAGCGAGAAAAAGAGAGAGAGAGAGAGAGAGAGAGAGAGAGAGAGAGAGAGAGGAGAGAAAATATGTTATTTCCTTTTCTCTCAAAGTTTTCTCTTTTGAAAGATATTATTATATTACCGTACTGATATATACAATTATAAAGACATTTTAATAGGTACGTAGATTGCGTTTACTTTTTAAGAAAAGTAAAGTATAAAAATTTCCTTTGTGAAGAAAGTTGTATAAAAAGTATAATACATATTGAACAGGCTCATTGAAATAAGCACATCGATTATAAGATCCAGCTTTATTTTTGTCACGTTAATGACGCAATTGCATCTATTGAAAAATGAATGATACATGGTATTATTTAATCAATACTCTTTCATTTAATACGACATTTCTCTCTTTCCCTTTCCGAGCGGCCTTTAGGCGCGACGGCGCCTAATCGAAAGGCGGCGTCAGATCGCAGAGAAGCTGACCATTTCCAACGAGCCATTTCGAATGATTTTAGCACTGTGTTAGCGTGGCCGGAGGTGGCGGCGGTGGAGACGGAGGCGGCGGCGGCGGCGGCGGCGGAGGCGGCGGCGGCAGC